ATTTGAATAACTGCTATTCGAAAATTTAAGTAAGTATTAGTGCATGATAATAAAAAATATTTTTTTATAATTTTTTTTTCAAGTAAAATTGTGTGTAAAAAAAGTTCACTAGTGTTGTCTAATTCTTCTAACAGCTTCGGACTAATAGTTCAGAGATGTTTTCGGTCTCCCTAATCGTTTTTTTATCGTTGTCAAAGTTGTAAGTTGAAAAAAAATTATTAAATACTTACGAAATAAGATAGGAATATTTTCCAATTCGACGGCTGCTTTTTGATATGTATATAGTTATAGTAGTATGTACTAATATACATATCAAAATAAAGATTATTATTAACATAGTCCATCTTTGGTATTTTATTCTATTATACCTACCTGTAAAAAAAGTTAGAAAAACAAAATTAATATAAATTTTTAATTAAGAGTTCTGAAATCAACTATTACTAAATAAACTTGTTATTATAAATAAATATTATTATTATCATAGATTAAAGTATAATATATCTTCTATGTTATTATTACAGGGTGTTTCACTATGATTCGAAAAATGAAATAATTTTTGTTCTAGTGAATATTTTTAAGATTTTTTTTTTTTTAATTACTTTAAACTCAGTTAGGCTAGATACTTACTTAGATTTTAATATTCTTCGTTCGTGTTGATTTGGTGTTTCTTTTGTAAATAGATTTAGTTTAGTACCGGGTGTCTATAGAATGATTAAATTTTGAATACATATTTCATAAGTGTATTTTATTCGTAAATATTAGTAATAGTTATTTTTTTTTAATTAATAACTACTGTATTACTAATCGGTAGCATACATTACATACGACGTGTGTTAAAAAAAAACCCAGACTAAAATTCCTACCAATAAAAAAAAAATAGAAATGTAAAAAACGTATAAAAATAGAAATGTTTTCATTAAATATTTATTACTCTTAAGTTATTAACATAATATGTGCTAACTATTCTTTTAACACTACACTCAGTAGTACAATGAAATACAATCAAATTCAAACTAAAAATAATCCATCCAGATCTAACAAAAAATACATTATGACACACACGGGCGAAAAGCCTTTTCAATGTGAGTTATGCAAGAAGACATTTTCACAATTAGGATATCTTGGGAAACACATAAGGAAACATACGGGTGTAAGGCCTTTTAAATGTAAAATTTGTAAGAAGACATTTTTATATTGTGAAACTCTTAAAGTTCACAAAAGGGCGCATAAATGCGGAAAACCATACTAATGTGATATAATATGTAAGAAGACATTTTCAGAATCTAGAAATGTAATTAAGCACAAAGGAGCACACAAACAGACTATACTCGAGAGACTATTTTAATGTCAGATATGTAAGAAGAAGTTTTCACGATCTCGAAACTAACCATGTTAGCAATTATAAGCAGCCACGAAATAATTAAAAATGTGTTGAGTAACACGTTCAATTTTCTAGTAAATATATATATTTTTTTGACGTTTCTACTATCTGTGTTTTGCAGATGATCATTAAAAATTTGTTTTCTATTTTATTCTCTATTTTCGTTATTTTATTTTTTTGACTTATTCGTTTTGTGCATTCAAATCCGTACTCCACAAATTTCGTCGCAATTTTTTCATTTACTACACACGTTACTGTTTTTAATTTATTTTATTTAAATTATAAATTTATAAACATCGAAGCTAAACGTTTATTGTTTATACCTACAGTTTATAGTCATTTAGAAGTAGGTATCGATAAACTCTTTGATTTAGTATTAATGTTTGTAAATTATAACTATTAAAATATTAAAAGTACATATTTATGTTTTATTCAAAATATTTAAAACAAACATTTTAAACTTTAGTAATAACTAATAACGTTAAAATGTATAGTTTAACGTGGAATTTTTAACAATTATTATCGATAGTAAGTTTTTTTATTTCATAAGCTAACGCTGTACATAACTTTAATTTTAAAATCAAAATTAAATTATTAAAATATATATATATATAAAATATGTAAACAATATAATATTATTTGGTTCAATGATTAAAATAGTTACTTAAAGAAAATAATTATTGTTTGGTATATATTATATATCCATATATCAAATAGATAATATGAAGGAAATTAAAATAATATTTTAAGGTGCAGTAGGACACTAATAAAATATAAACAGTTATCTTTCCGGCCACTTCGACTTGACAAATAAGTAAGTATATACAATTATGTCTGATGTTATAATATTATACAATAAAGGCCTAATTTAAATTTTAGTCTTGAGTGATCTGGAATAATTTTTTTGTGAAAACTGTTATTTGGTCTCAAACATTTAAAACAGAGAACGCTTTTAGTTCATATAATATTGTAATATCAATTAAAAATGTATGCAAACTTTAAATTGTGAAATACTTATTGAAATTAATGAAAATAATTATTTTTAGTAGCAAATCATAATATTCCTTTTTATTTATTTGAACGTTAAAAATTAAAAAACGCATTTATTCATTCAGTCTTAAACCGACTTTATACAATTTTATTTAAAATATAAAAAAAAGATATGAAGAATTGCAAATTACACACTCTAAGTAAAAAAAAAAAACATTGAAGCTAGACCAAATAAAAATATAAACAAAATGAGAAAGTATTTTATTTAATTCACTATTTAACCTAATTTCCTTAAGTAATATTCAGTGATATTGCCCTTTAAAAAGATCAAGGGTACTCTGTATAGATAATTATATAATAGTTTTGAATAATGTATATTTATTGTTTATACATTTGTTACAATAATTTTTAAGCCAATTAACAGGTTTTTTTTTATACTTCTCAGATATAGCTTCAGAAAACTGATAATATTTCACATAAAATGTGAAAATTTTAATTTGGGTTCAGTAAGACAATCAGTCTGATTTGATAGTCTCACCAACATATAAGCAAGTTTGCATTAAATTACATTATATATTTATTAAGTATGACGTTTATACGATTACGGTTCTAGTTTGATCATTTTTTTTAACATAACAGAATTGTTTAATCTAGTTTACAGTAATTTTATATTATGCTATATTCTTATTATCTACCTATTATCACATGCAAAAGCCGGGCCGTACAACAATTTTTTTTCACTTCACATGTCTTCATCCGGCAATAGGTTCACTTTGGACTTTATACTTATAATGTATATATTGATTTGTGTGGAAACTTTAAAATTAAATATGTGTTTTATTCTAGTTATTTATGTTAGGTATTTAAACTACAAGTGTCATATGTTCCGTTTTCCTTGCTCTAATATATCCTTTAGGTACCACATTTTGTTAATAATATATCTTCTAAAAGACAAGGTTGAAGGCAAGGCTCATAAGCTCCTACCCGTATTCGTTAACTACAAAATACATATGTAAGATGTGGTAAAACTAATTTATACTTGACAACCAAATTCTGAAATTGTCAACTAATTTAGGTAAAAAGTAAAAATAATATTTTATTTAAATAGTAATACAAACAATTTGCGGGAAATTTCCATAAAATTATTATTATTTTATACCAAACAATATTGAATTATAACATATACTTATAAGTTATGTATATACTCTAATATAATGTAATTTATTATGGATTTTACATTATATAATTTTACGTGTACAGTGTATACGATTTTAACTAGATAATTGATAAATAGCTAACTACAATTTGCAATAAAGATAAGAACCTAACCAAAGGCAATGTTTTTGATATTAAAATACGAAATTTCTCTTGGCGGGTTTTTGGTAAAATCGATGTTGGTACTATTTGTAGTATTACAGATTTTATAGGTTATGTAACATTTATTTCTTATCACGCGTTCTCGTTTTTTGGAAAAACTACCCCCAACTCTTAAGAAGGCTTACAACTGGGCTGCTCTTAAATGCACCTATCGCTATCCTTGGACTTGTGGATGTTGTTGATTGCTTCTTGAAGATGATTAGTTACTTTCAATAAACTGTACAAATTTTATTAAAATTTGCCAAATGGTTTTTGAATTACAGTGGTCACCAACTTTGAAAACATAGTTTCGAGAAAAGTTTTATGTACTCGATTTATGTATAGAAATATTAATTATCTAATTACTTACATCGAGTCATCTATTCCTTGGATTAACTTGAAATTTTTAGATAATATTTTCGAGACATCATACTTTAAGAAAATGCAAAAAAAAATTGATTTTTTGAAAATTCTGACTACCTCTAACCCCTTACTAACCTACTGATATAATATATTTAAGTATGTTGTCTAATTATGTTCGAATTTAGTATTCTTTGAGTTTTTTTATTTAAGTTATACTCAAGTAGGTTTTTTGTGTTCAAACTAAACTTAAAAGTAAAACAATATTTTAGTATAATGATAATTTACCAATAAGAAATTGTCTTTTGAGTTTGTAAAGAAAAATTGTTTTTCAAAACATACTAACACGTTTAATAAAAAGTAAAACAGAATGTTCATTCGAATTAGTTTTTGTTATTCAAAGTGTTGTTTTATGTACTTATTTAAATTTCAATTATAATACTAGAATAGTTGCACAGGGATTGTCGGACTGTAGGAATATATCAACGTAAAACATTTTAGGTTGTATTGCTTTGTATACAGCTGTTTTATTGAGTAGTAACGCTAAAATAAAATAAAACTAATTCAACATTTCTACAAAATACATAGGTAATAATAATAAAAGAAAAAACCATTCAAGGTTAAGCAAATATTATACTTGATATACAAAAAATTGTTTTCACTGCATACAAAAATTAACAAGAAAAAAAAATGAATTGAAGCAGATAAAATATTATTAAATATTTAAATATTATTATATTTTTTAATTAAAAGATAACTGCTTCGTTAATGTTTTTAAAAAAGTCGGATATCAAGTATGAGCAAAATGCATAGGGCAATGATAGCAGCAAATGAAACAAATATAATTAGTTACGTAGAGTTTAATCAAACTAAAATTATTACCTACACGTTATTATAATACAATCAATTTCAATCAGTATAATTCACTATTATCATATTCTGCGGTGTCACTATCGTCTTCATCTTCTTCTTCAGATGAACTAGAATCATTTGACACGTTGTCAGAACCATCGTCGTCTTCTGCGACTAATTCGGGTTTTCTTAGTTTAACATAAAGTGTTTTTAAGTCCTCGGCAGTGAGCGATCCCAAAAATACTTTTATATTTTTCACGTAGACTTTTTTGAGCGACTTCAGCTCGTCCTCGTAGGCTTTTTTCTTATGATCAGATAACGCATTCCATTCTAACAACGCTTGGGGTTCAAGCCGTTTGATAGACTTGGACTTTGGATTGTTTCGGAATCGACTTTTGAATAAATCAAATGGTTTCTTAAATGGAACCTCGGAAGGTTTACCATCAAGTGTCTTAGTTTTCGACTGTAACGTAGAAACCTCGTTTTTTGATGCTTTTTTCGGTTCTTCTGAAATTCCCTCTCTGGCGTCTATGTGGGGTACGATTTTCGGCTCTGTCGTTTTCGGTTTGGCTTTCGTTTTGGTCATTTCCAATCGCCTTTCTTCGTCCGGTAACGTTTTTAGATATGCATCGAATTCAGTCCAATAACGGTCAGTGATTACTTTTAATTTATCAGTATAGATTCGTTTTTCTTCCTCTGAAAATGATTTCCATTTTTTCGCAACAATCGCCATTTTTTCTTTCGGGGGAATTCCGGCAAGAGAATCGCCTTGTAGCATTTCGGTCGAGAAAAGACTGTAGCTGTTTACAGGTGGCTTTTTCGGTTTTCCAGACTGAGATTCCAAAATAATCCTATCTCCTTTGGTTAACGCGCTTTTTTTTGGCATAGTAAATGCAGGGTCGTCTTTGTGATGTTCTTTCAAGTGATCTAAGTAAACTTGCTCACGTTCATTGGCCAATTTAATCCATTTTGATTTTTTCTTCTCGGTCATCTTTTCCCATTCGTCTTTAAAATGGTTAACGATTTCGGTTTTTTCCAAATTTCCTTCGAACCCTTCGGCCTCGGATTGCAAGAATATTTGAAACGGAGTCTTGGGTTTTCGCTGCTGTTCTAACGACTGGGGTTTGACGTAACCCGCATTTGCCTTGGCCATGAGTTCATTATACTCAGTCTTCAGTAGATTCGCCCTATCCACAAAGCCTTGCTTTTTGTCGGGCGATAAGCTTTTATATTTTTCTGCTATAATTTGCGCAAGTCGCGGCAGCTTCGTGTCGGGATATTTCTGTTTGTACTTGTGAAAAATTCCAGTATAATACAACATGTAAGCAGACTTGGGTTTTTGAACACGATTTTGCTTGGAATGATTTGTATCAATACCTTTGGTGGCCAACAGGTGTTTTGCGTCTTCCACGAGATCGCCCAATGTTTTTTGCGTTCTCAACTGGTCTTGAATCGCCGTCCATGTGGCCTGACACTCTTGTTTATTATAGTTATCGAATTTTACTTTGTCCCAATCTATTTTCGGCAAACGATTACGGAACACAAGGGTATCGTTTTTCGGGAGCACCGCTTCCAATTGAGTTAAAAGCTTTTGAATATCATTGTTGGGCCAACGGATGTTGGCCGGTATTGCATCTTTTACTTCTTCGTCGATTACACCATTGACGACGTGTTCAGACTGCTCATCTGACTCATCGTTTGAAACAACCTCTTGTTTGACGACATGTTTTTTCATTTTGTCGGACCTTTGTACTGCTTCGACAGATTTTCTTTTAGCCATTTTGGCCTGGAAAACATAACTAAAAATCAGGATCCAATCAAGATATATAGTAACACAAAAGAATAATACAATACATTGTAAGCTTGTTTATTTATTACTCAAACGTGGACTGAAAGTAATTCAATACGGATAGAGATAATTTTAAACAACCTAAATTTATTGCCAAGAAACATATATTATGATTGACAATGTAAAAAATAAATTATTAATTTTATTCTGTATGTATCGGTTCTATTTCAAAGGACTAGAATTTCGGCAAAACTTTTAAAATGGTTGTGCAAAAGAGGGTAACCATCTTTAACACATGATTCTAGCGTGCCTAAAATCATCTGACAAAGAGTCAGGCTTTTTAGCTTAAACATTTTAGAAATTATGATAATTTTTGTTTCCGGCTATCCAGCGTTCTTGATGAAACATCCTATACAAGTGTCGCTTTTATATTTTATGCAAATAATTAAAGCAGTTCAATTGTTTTATTTGTAAATCTGATTAAACGTTCTGAAAATAAAATCTGTGATTGATGTTTTAATCGAAAAACTGGTTAATCAGAAGACAATTAATTAATTACAATATTAATAATAAGTTATTTTTTTTTAAATAATAGATTAACAGAAAGTAAAATTAAAGGGTTTTCGAATGTTTGAATACCTAGCATTATTCTAAAAGTTAGTTATTAATTAAAATTTAGTTGGTATTGGTTGTAAAAACTATAGTTGACCACAAGTATTGTTATCGTTAATCTACTACAATTAATCAATGATTTTTGACTAGAAAAATTAAACAAAAAATAGCACTACCTTATTATTAATTATTTGCTGTTTAAACTTATTCAAGTATATATTTTTAGTTTTTTTTGAAATGTTAAAAATTAAACGTTTTAAATTAAGATTAAATCATTGTAAAACAAAGGCCACATGGACACATCAAAACCAATACATTACAGTTGGTTCAATTTATGGCTAAATTTTTTATCATTTTTTTTAATTTTCTGCTTAGGTTTGTACGATTAAATAGGTACACTATACCACTAACAATGGAATACCTATACAGGTGACTTACCGAGGCAGCGGCTGCTATACCAGGTTTACCTTACTCGAAGCAAATATGTTAATGTGTGACAGAAAATATATGTGTTGTATACAATTCTTAAATACTTGCCAATTTTGTTTAATTAATTTACCAGCAATTATTTATTTAAATTGTTTCCGGCTCTAATGATTTCAACTCTTTTCACAAATAAACGATCTAAACAAACTGTCTATTTATTAACTAATTATAATTCAGTCGTGTTTCATCAACTTTATGTTTTGTAAATCAATATTAATCTACACAATAGACATTACGAATTGTCACTGGACCAGTTTTATGTAGCAAGGCTACATATTTGAAATGACGCAGTCAAAAGTTACTATAACTTTGTTGATATTTTAATATCAATTTAATATTATTTTGTTGTATTGCTCTTTGATACATTTCTCTAGTGTCTTCTTGTTTACAGCTGAACATTTAGTCATTGAGTCGTCACTGCTCCTTACCTCTTTTACGTCTTCTATTTCATTGTTTATATTGTACCCTGCAGCCAACAAACCAAGTGTAGTAGAACCTGCATTTAACATCTCCCTAAACATTCCATATGGTACCCAAAGATATCCTTCTTCATCGAGGATATTCTCTATTTTTTCGAACCAACTTCTTGTTTGATTAGAGGGGCGATGGTAGTCAGTACCAACTTCGCCATAAGGTAAGAACCTACGCTTAACGTGTCAAACCCAATAATTGTGTAACTCTAATTGTGAAATCACTCTACTAAGTATAATGTAATGTTATACGATAAACCAGTAAACCAGTAAATAACAATTATTGTTTTTTTTGGTAATTATAATTTCTTGTTGCTATGTTTTTTCTCAATACATGTTTGTTACCTTAGTACATATTCGTTATAAAAGCGGATTGTGTATTTAGCTTGCTTCCTTACATAATATAATAAAGGTTGTGTTTGATATTTTAAGAAAATTTTTATTTTTATTTCTCCGCTATTTTATACATGCTATTAGCTTAAGAACACGGCCAAAGTGATGAATTGGACTCTTGAAAAAAACTAATTAAAAACGGAATGTATTTGTTAGGCAGTTAACTTCAACGAAGTGCAGATGCAACTTGGTTCCTTCGATTGTTAGGTCAGATTTTTGTTTTACTTTATATTTGTTTGTAGTTTCATAAGATCCTGGATTGAATGAATTTAATATAAATGGCCGTATTATATCGTTATAACGATATTTATACCGTTATTAAATTACTTAAATTTTAGGTATTAACAGGAGTTTCATTATATAAAAGTTTATCTAAGGTAGTATATACTTGGATTGAACAAATCCACACAATAATATTAGAGAAACACTAAAACTCGTATACTTATTATAAAAACAGTAATGTTAATATGAATTTTATTGTTTGACAAACAATTTAACAACATTATGACATATTTTTAGTAAAAATATTACGTATGTACTATTGCGGTAATATTTAATTCGCGCCAAAACTCTTCCTGAACACCAATATACAACTCTTTTCAATTACAAATTCTTAATAATGTCTATTTTTAGATGATTTCAATAATATTAAAATATTATGATAAACAAAATTTGAATTTGTTTCATAATATTGACATTATAATAGTGACAATAATACCGCCGCGCCGTTGTGATATTGGCTAGAAATACATACAAAACACACTATAATATATACTTTACAAAATATAAATATTTTACAGATATTACAACTATGAAACTTTCTGAAGTTAATATAAAATACACAATTAACAGTCATTCAATTTATATCATTCTATCTGTTTTAATTTTTATCATTACATAAAAATATAAAACTACCAACTCCTGGGCAAACATTCCGCAGACAAACTCATCCCAGTTATAAATATACCTTTCAGACTTGCTTGGACAAGCTTTGGGGCCACATTTCACCTTGACCGGAATAAAGTAATGCAGTTTCGACGGTCTCTTCACGGCGACTACACAAAAATAGACCATTGTTGTTTTGTTTGCCGACCGAGCATTGAATTTTCTTTGAATTATTTCCATTATCTATTTAGTATTTTACAAGCCTCTTCTAGCTCTTTCTCTTCATCTTCTGTGAATGATTCACCGGCATCTAGAATAAACCGTTTTCCTGTTTGGAAATATTCCAAGCATACACTTTATATCTTTCTCTCCGTTGTAGGGTTCTTAATGTACGTTAATGGATTCAGAGTCTGGAATACACTTGAAGCTTTTCCGCATGACTGCCTGAATTCTGACTCCGAAACTTTACACAGTTCCCTTGCAATGGCGTTTGATTTTCTACAATAAGCAAATAGATTCCTAGGCATCTCTAATTCCCTCTCAACCAATGTGCCGCTTTCTATTGAATATGATTTAATTTCTCCTTTGTTCACGTGAAAAGGATTATTAAAGGAGCTAACCTGACACTATTAACAGGTAACTTTTCTCTTCTTCTGTCACTACTTTCCTCTCCTTCAGAGCTATTCCTGCAAATAGGTGACCTTCCTCCGTCGGATAACAATAATATGTCATTACACACCATCCATTTTTCCTTTTTTTTATTCTCCATAGTCTTCTTATGTTGTCAGCACCTATTGTCAACTTCATTTGTGATCAAAACCTATCTCTTTTAATTTTTATCATTACATAAAAATCTACATTGTACCAATTTGTATAACTATATAAGGATTAATTTAACGTAATATTGTGGAAAAATATAAAACTACCAGCTCCTGGGCAAACATTTTTTATTTGGATTTTCTCAATTATGCATGCCGCAATATCTTCGAAGAATAAAGAAAAATACCACACATAAATAAAGTCACCTGAATCAATGCCAATGTTGTTCATTCAGGTGTATTTTTTTAGATGGTGATCAATCCAAAATTTGCGTAGAATCGTGATATCATGACGATAGTATAAGATAATAAGACAGTAGAAGTAAGGGGAGGGGATAAGTAGAGAGGAGAGTGAAGAGTAGAAAGAGGAGAGGTATTTATCTAATCTAAAAACAAAGAGAATCAGCTGACTATTAAGTAAATTAAGTAATTTTTCAGGAATGGCAATTCGAGTTCGAAGATTAGTGTAGATCGCACGTCCATCGTAAAAGGATCCATCTCTTTTAATTTGTATTATTACACAAAGAAGGTACATTATATAAATTTCTTTTAGCTCCCGGTAGAGAAAACAGTGAGCTTCTCATAAACAAAATAAAAATTGAAATCCGTCGAATAGATACGCCGAAAAATATATATCACTAAAATTAGCATAATTTAGAAATATTTCAATGGCTAGACCACGTGATGTGGAGAAGTACTTCCCTGGTCTTGACTGTGGTTTCACTTGATAGTACCTAGTTAGGGAAATGGGAATTATCTGGATTTAAAAAAAAATTATATGTGGTTAAATTTCAATTTTTGGTACAAGTAAAAATACGAAAAAATTTAACGTATTGTGCTAAGTAATTTTTTTAATAAATTATAAATACAAAATAAAACCTTTAGAAAAGTTGGCAGTACTTGATCGGGTACGTTGAAAGACATACCGTCCGATGCGCGCTTATTAATTTGCTTGATTTATGTTTTCGCCTAAAAAAAACCAAGTGTTGGACACATCGGGTCGTTTGTGTTGCTAAACATACAACCGTTGTAAGCACGCAAAAAAATCTAACAAATCGACTGAAGCTTCGCCACTCGATGCTATACTTCGACAACTACGGTCATAAGTACCAGAAATATATTTTCGGAGGTATGTATATATTATATAGTATGGAAGTGGGTACACTTCCATCTGAGATGAACTCTAAAATACGCCACTGGGCTAATGTTTATAACTTGTTATGTAAGGGACTTTGCACATAGCTAATGTAATTCACATGTATATCTAAATTCAATTTTTTATTAACGATTTTTATTTTACTTACTCGTTAGTGTAGCTACAGTAGGA